GTTATCTAACAGATATAGGGTGTAATGATTCTTTGGATTTTGGTCTTCCTTATCATTAGCATATATCATATGTTTGTATCTAATTATCAATCGTTTTATACATACTGGGCCAGTAATATTAAGAGGTAATTTTGTTATAGGTAATGTCACGTGCTAAATGTTCTCCTAAAGATTCGTTATGAATATTATGTAGTATACTTTCAATTTCATTAGTTCTGATTACAAGTAATGGTTGAGTTGAATGTTTATGATTATGTCTATAAAGTTGTTAGTTTTGTATAAAATAATGTTAAGCTTGTTTTTGAATGACGTGTTATTGTGAAGGGGTGAGGTTTGAAGGCGTTTAAATGTAATTTTCCTTTTTTATATCGAATTTGATATGGAAATTTTATAATACGAATAATCTATCTCATAAACTTACGAGAAGAGTCAGGTTTATTAAAAAGTCATTATAGTGCTACATGATCGATAATTAGTTCAAATTGTTAATGTAACAAATAAAGTCAAAAGAGTTCCATTCCCTATATAGCGGCAAGACATTCTAATTCAGTTAGAGCATAATTTCGCTCAGCATAGCTTATACTTCGACTGACATAAGCTATAACATGTTCTTTATTATTATCATCCAGTTATGCCAATACTGCGTTAAGGCCTATATATGAACTATCGGTAAAGAGTAAAAACTTGTGTTTAAAATCAGGATAAATCAAAACTGATGCTATTATTAAAAAGCTTTTTGTTGTAGTTCCGTCCAAATATAAGATATATCTTTATATAATAATAAATGCAATGATGCAGCCGATGTTGAGAAATTCTAAATAAATCTTCTATAATAAAATGCTAATCTTAAGAATCCTCTTTGGGATTAGAAAAATTTTGATTTATCTATTTTAGAGGGATCTGGTATGATTTCTTGTTTACTCAAGATATGTCCTAGAAATGCTAATTCTAATTTAGCAAACTCGCATTTATTTTTTTCAAGTTTGAGTCCAGTGTCTTTTAATCATTTAAAGATGAGCTATAAATATCACAAATGTGTATCAAAGGTGTCTGAAAAGATGATGATATCGTCAAGATACACAGCTATGAACTGTCTGATCTCCTCTTTAAAAATCTTATTCATTAAATGTTAAAAAGTTGCAGGTGCATTTATTAATCCAAATGGCATTACTTTAAATTCATAAAGTCCTTGACTAGTTATGAAAGCTGTTTTAGCTTGGTCATTTGGGTTCATAGAAACCTGTCAATACCCACTAGCTAAATCTAAGGTTGAAAAATATTTAAGTTTTCTGTAATCGATACAAAACCGAAGTTTCCCATTTTTCTTTCGAATAAGAATAATAGGTGAAGCCCAAGGACTTTCAGAGGGCTGTATCAAGTTGTATTTCAACATTCTACTAACTTTATCCTTGATAAATTCTTATTCTAAGGGAGCTACTCTATATGCACGCTGTCATATAGGCATCAGATTTTCTACTGGTATATGATGTATTTCAATCATTGTATATTCTAATTGTGATAAATCCTCAGTGAATGCATCCTCATTTTTATGTAGAAATTGAATAATTTGTTGCTATTGAGGTCTATTAAGATGGTTATAGGTCATTTTATAAAAAAGTGGTTCATTTGAAATATTTCGTAGTAGTTACTAGTGATCTACCCTTAACATCATAATAAACAGAAAAATGTTCTTTTATTTTTTTCAACTCTGAACTACTAAGTATATGATGCTTTACCAGAAAATTAAAGTCTTCATTCCTATAGGAAAATACAAGATGTGATGCATATTACTTTAGTGGCTAAGGTGGAAAAATATTAGTATTAAGTTATTTGATAATATTTTAAATGATTAAGCAACTCCTGAATGTGAATATTATTAATTATATTTTTATAATAATGGAGTCACAATCATGCTAATGGAAAAAGCATTCCACAAACACGTTCTATTAAAAATTGCTATGTAGCCTAACATGAACCTGTATTTTTAATACTATCGGTAATATATAGAATATAATAAAAGCATAATTTCATTGTACTTAAATGTTCTTCTAAATCACGGTAGTATTCTCTAATAATAGATAAGTAATAAAAATTATTTATATATCTGAAATTTGAGTTAAAATTTCTATTATTACTAACCTCTCATAATAATCATAAAAAGATCAAAATAGAAATTGAATATTATTTAATTCTTGAGCAGTTAAAAATAATTTTTGACATAGACGGACTGCTTTGACAAAATAAGCCTATGCTTAATAATGATTTTCTGGCATTCGTCCTTTCAACAAAGGTAAAGAGTATATGGTTATTCAGGCTGTCTATTTTTCAGCTTTATAACCATTATGATGGAGAACTATGTTATGAGGTGAACGTCCAAGATATATTAGTATTGTCTTCTGAATACTATATATTTCATTACCTATTTCATTCCATTGAATCTGACTAAGTATATAATTACCATTATTTTGATTATCATTTTTTCAAAAAAATTTTCCATTCTAACGTTGAAACATATAACCTGCAATATTCTCATAAATTAAATGCATTATATCAATAGGAAACAAATTTGATAAATGTGTTGCTTTTAAGTTAAATAATATACTGCATCCCTTAATTCCTAAAAATTTATAACAAAAATCAATATTAAAATACTTTTATATATAATATGAGTTATAATATAAAAAGCATAAAAAGATAATTTATATATATCAAATTTTGTTTCAAATTCATATAGTTCTTTATTTGAACTTATTATAGATAATTGTTAGATTCTTTCTTTAAACTGTTCATGATTTTGCATAGGCAAATTATCTGAATCATATGTTATATATTTATCTTCCTTTCCTATAGGTGACATAGTTAGAAAATATATATGATCTATATAAATATCACAAATATTTCAATATTTATATTCTTTATAAGAATTATGTCCAGTAAGACACATAAGCTTTGTTAGTCCTGAAGTATCACCTGACCATAATATAACATATGCACATAATAAGAATCTCTCTTTTTTAAATCCATTATAACAATTAATTTCAACTATAAATTAATTAGATAAGTTAGAATATTTAATATTATTTGTTTTAATAAAAACAATAAAGTAAAATTCATATCTTTTAAATCTTTTAATTCATTAACTATTGGATACATAAATGAGTTAAAATGTTTAGGCTCTTTTGGACCTGGAATTATTGATGTTATCATAAGATTCTCTTTTTTAACATGATTTTTTAGACAAAGATTTGCATTAATAATGAGAACTATCTAACAATCATCTGTCTTTTATCGAAATATTTGATATCTATCAACTGATCCAATTAATACTATATCTCGTTTATCATTAAAAAATCCATAAGATAAAAGTTCTCAATATCTTTTACCATCAAATACATCTCCAATTTTAAAATTATTATAATGATTATAATTTGCACGATATCTCAATTCTTTAGAATAATCAGAATCTTGATATTGTATTATAAGTCTATCTTTAATTGAAAAATAGTCTATCTGATATCGAGAAATACAATTTTTATTTGCTGATGTGTCTTAAAATCTTGGTGCTTTACAATACTTACATTGAACATAATTTTTATATTATTCAGTATATGCATAGCATGAATTGACACACATATCAATTCATATTGGTTCTAACTTTACAATTAGATTTTAGAATTTTTTTGATTTGATATTAGCTTATATCACCTCCATTAACAGCCAACATTGTTTGTCAAAAAGCCTCATCTGTCAAATTGCAATAAGACTTAACAATAAATAATCTTAAAGCGCAAGCTATTTCATTTGATAATTGTTTATTAACTATATTTGATAATATTTAATAAAATAGATTATAATAGTTAATTATATAATTATTTGATATATTACATACTATTATTATTTACAGAAGATTCGCTTGAATCAGAAAACTCATTCATATATTCAATAGATTCACTTGAGTTATACTTATCAATTTCAGAGCTTATTAAAGATGTTTTATTTATATAAGACTAATCATCATTTATAAAATCAATGTTTATAGAAGAGTTACTTGATATTTCACTTTCAAACTTTTATACAATTATGTAGTTTTTAAAAAAAAAATAAAAAATAAATTATTCAAATTACAAAATATACCTTTCTAAGTTTAAAATATCAGTAATAAATGTATCATCAAGTATTAAATTAGAACTAGAACTAGAACTCAAACTTAAACTTAAAAATTCTTCTTGTTCATGATCTTTTTTACAATGTCTAGTTCTAGTAAATTTAGAAACCAAAAGACCATTATTTTGTTCTGTATCTTTTTTTTTGACATTTTGAACAAGTACAAAGAACTTTTGTTAACATTTAAAAAAATTCACAATGTATACAACTTATTTTTTTTTTTTTTTTTGTTTTTAAATTAAATCATATCTATATATAGCTGATAATAAGATTAACTGATTTTAGACATAAATGTTTCATGTTGATCAAATTTGACATGTAATATTCATACAAACTTTTTTTTTTAAAAGTTCATGTATAATATTTATGTAATCAAAAAATAACTTTTTTTTAAAAGTTTGGTATTTCTAATTTTGGCTAATTTGTTTTTTTTTACAACTTCTAAATGAATAAATCAGAAACTTCTAAAGTTCGTTATCACTAACTCACTTCTAAAGAATATAAAAAATTTAAGAATTCAGGCAACAAGTCATCAAACCAGAAGTTTTATGAATCCTTTGATAATAATATTACAAGTAAACAAATATTCAATAAAAAAACTTTTGATAAACTCATAGACCGCATTACTGCTTTAGAAAATAAAATGAAGACCTGAATATAATGCAAGGTCTCAATATTTCCAAAATAAAACAAGTTCAAAAATTGTATTGGCTGAAACTAATGATGCTTCAAACTCAAGATCTAGCAAAGAAAAAGATTTAGATAAAAAACATAAAATACACAAAAAACTTTATACAAAATATCAGGAATCTAGTTCAAAAGATCAAGCTCTGAATATGAATCAGATGAGGTATGTTTTGTTCTCTTTTTTTTTTGAAAATAACAAAAATACCAAATCTTTTCTATTTTACATTTTTTATTTCAAGGGATAAGAATGCTAGCTTTACAATTAATGTATTAAATGGTCAATCAGCAACTTTGCTAATTCCAAAATCTCCACCTGGAAAAAGCCAATATACAAAGTTATATTTAAAACTAAATTTAGACAGGGTCATATATAACAGTTATAAAATTAGAAACTAATTAGATATAATAAATATTAATAAACTAGTCATTAACGAATATTTTATTAGAGTGCTTTCTATGATCTCATTGATCGCTATGCTCCTAGTGATATTGAATATAAAAATATTGATAAAAATGTTAAGATTAATATAATATGTAAGGTATGTTATAATTTTTAACTTTCTGATTCTTTCAATTCTAAACTAGTATTACATGTTTTTTATAGTTTAAAAAAAAGAATCCTTATTTTCCTGAATGTATTAGAAATTGGGCTTTATATTATCTTATGTGTCGCAAGATCAACATTATCTGTATGTATCATTAATTGATGAGATATGAATTTTTCTGAATTAATTGAAATAATGTTTCTTTATATAGGTGATAATACTCATCACAAAAACATATCCAAGAATAATAAAGGCAAAAAGAAGGTGATTTATTTGGTTTCAAATACTATATCATTTATTATAAAATAACTAAATAACATCTATAATAATTCTAACACAAAGACATAAAATTGTAAATACTTATTCAGCTAATAATAAGAGACTTGGACAAAATAAAAATCTGATGCCTAACTCAAAATACCAAGAATATAATTCTGATGATCAAATAAATTCATCTGTTATTGAACCAGAGGTTATATCTAATATTAATATTACAAAGGAAAGTTTGTTTACATTTTTTGAAATATTAATTATAGATTTTAGTGATACTTTATCATTGGCTAATATTAAATATTTTATTACAGAAATAAATAAAACAAAGAATACTAAATCATAAGTTGAACCAATATCTATTAAAAGAATTGAATACACTTTTCTTGATGAAGTTGATTCTATTACAGAAATAAATAAAACAAAAAATACTAAATTGCAAGTTAAATCAGCATCTGCTAAAAGAGTAAAGAGAATGTCAGTTTCTGATGATCATAATGAAGTTAAAAAAGATACTAAATCGCAAGTTAAACTAGTATCTGTCAAAAGAGTAAAGAGAATATCAGTTTCTGATGATAATACTGAACTTGTAACTCATAATGAAATTGAGAAACATATCTTACCTCGTAAGTTGACCTGTAAAAAGAGAACTTAATGAAAATCAAGTAGCTAAATTTATATATTCAGATATTACTTTAATCTTTATTATATGCATCATTTTTAATAGAGCGGTAAGTAACTAATATATATGCAGATTTTATACACAATTTATCTTATATTATATATAATTTGTAGTAAAGGCATTAACATATAATATAATTAATTTGTATATTTAACATATATTTTATGTATATTTTATATATAATATTAGTATCAATACACTTCCAATTTGAGCTCATTTTTTATTATATATAACGTATATATCATGAACAATAAATATTAAACATTTTTTATACATTTAATAGACAATATTTTTTCATAGGGTAATTGAGCAGTAATCTTTCAACGGTTATCGAGTTTTATTCTAGGCTGATTCTCAAAAGTGTTTATATTATTATAACGAGCAGTATTTCAACAGATTGTTAATAATTTATAATTGTAAAATAATATATTTATTCACAAGTAAAATAATAAAAGTAAAAGAAAAGAAATAAAAGGAAATAAGAAAATAGAATAAGAAAAGAAAAAAAACGAATTACTTAAATAAAAATGTAACACAGTAGGTCAGTTGCCTCTAAACTACTAAAACTAACTTGTTGAGTTCCTATCTATCTCTCTTTTTACATAAACTAAAAAGCTATCTATTTATATAAAATAAATTATACAGGGAGATATAATTAATATGTCTACTATATTAACTATATCTAATATGACAACATTGTCTAATATATCAGTTATGTCACATATGTCTGACATATCATATATATCATTTATGTCAAATTAGTCAATCTTCTACGCCACATAAGCTGTATCATATTTACCTATTCACAATGTTTTCCTTCAAATAGTTTAAGTTTATTAATACAAATTAAAGTTCTTAATAATAATTTATTATCTTATTTAGAGAATATTGACAAGAAAAATGAATAATTTTTTCAGGATGACAATGCATCAATTTATTAAGCAAAAAGAACAATAGATTGGTCTTCTAAAAAAAATGTTTCATATCTTCCATGACTTTCATAGAATTCTGATCTTAATTCTATAGAAAATGATTGAAATGAACTAGAGTAAAGAATCTGTTAATAAAATCTATTGCCAAAAAATGAAACTAAGCTATTCAATTTCTTACAGAATGAATAGTTAAATATAGATAGCTCAGTTTACAATAATTTTATAGAAAGCATATATTGCCATATTAAAGCTATTAAAAAATCAAAAGACTATTCAACTAAATATTAAATTTATATATTAACTAATTGAATATTATATTATTTTAATAAAAAAAATTATTTAAAAATACTATTGGATTCTTGAGATATTAAAATTTAAAAAATGCATATTGATTATTGATTGTTATGTGAAATCACAATTTTCTGGTTATTTTTTTCAAAAAAGTGTATGTTTAAACTTTATTTTTGAAAACTTGAAGTATTTTAATATACTAAACAAATAATGCATAAAAAAAAACTTTTAATTTAAAACAAAAAATATAATAAACAAAGAATTTAAATATTTTTTGTTAAAAAATATTCAGATAAAATGTTTAAGTTTTAAAATAATAATTATTATAAAATAAGAAATCTGTATAATTATTTTAAACCTTTCTGTTATAGATATTTTTATGTTAGTCTAACCTAACTTAGATAACTTAATTTACGAAATTATAATTTAACTTATAATTTTTACAAATAAAATAACATAATATATATTTATAAAATTCTTTATTTTTAACAAAGTGTATTATATAACAAAGATTGAAAGAATGTAATTATTGCTCTTTAAAATTTATTTTCAGTCATTATACTATTATTATTTTAGCAGTGATTTAATTCTGAGAGTGATAGTTATAGTTAATTCAAGAAGGGTAATTGAAAAAATAAATAAATTATATGTTATATATTGAAATATAAATTTTGAATCAGATTAAGATTAAAGCAAATATTAGATTATTTTTCTGAATTTATAATTTATAAAGATATTAAACAGGAATGATGAACTCAGAGTACTCACCACCAACAAATCTATCAATTAGTTCGCCATCTGGAAAATTTTTTCGATGAATACCCCTTCCTTCTTCACGTCTTTTGCTTCATGTAAGCTCAAATCATTCATTATTAAAAACTTCATTGATGAACTTCCTACACTGTCACGCTTCACATTATTACGATCTGACTTATATGAGCACTGGCCTTGTATGAATTGCAATGACACTACTGAAACTACTCTTCATATTTAGACTTGTCTATCATACTCTTCGGATATTACGAACGCAATCTTGGCTATCAAACACGATTTTGTCGACCAGTTAAGCTCTGCATACAGAACCAGATATACAGCACACTAAACAAAACTAGAGGACATTCTCAACACAACCTTTGCATCACCTTCTACTACTTCTAATGGCTACACAGACATCATTCAATCCAGAATCTCATCTTTCCTGATAAATATTGTCCATAAAATAACTGGCAATAAAGAGCGATGCCTCTCCATCGTCTCACGCTCGCTGCTCCTTTTTCACCAAAAACTATACGATGACGTCTGGAAACACCGTTGCAACTTATTGATCGCTAAAGAGTATTCAATAGGCATTACTAAACAAGACAAGCATAAACGAAATGCCAGTTCACCTTTGCCCCACAGATAGACATCAAGCACCTCTTTTAACTGAAAGACTTGGATACACTATGTGAATAAATTTGGCTACGCATTCTCAGATTTTTAGATAGGCACTGACGTCTTCTTTATCTTTCCTTGCTGATGTTAAT